GCAAGGAGGGTCTTCTATGCCTCCCAATTGACTGCTAAACCCAGACTTCTGGAGCCAGTGTACCTCGTTGAAATCCAGGCTCCTGAGCAGGCTCTTGGTGGCATCTACAGCGTCCTTAACCAGAAACGTGGGCATGTGTTTGAGGAGATGCAGCGACCAGGCACACCCCTTTACAACATAAAGGCATACCTACCTGTCATCGAGTCATTTGGGTTCTCAAGCACTCTGAGAGCAGCTACATCTGGCCAGGCTTTCCCTCAGTGTGTGTTTGATCACTGGGACATGATGTCGTCTGATCCTATGGAGGCTGGATCACAAGCTGCACAGCTTGTTGCTGACATTCGCAAGAGGAAGGGTTTGAAGGAGCAGATGACACCGCTTTCTGAGTACGAAGATAAGCTGTAAACATTCTGCCCACGCATTCCAAATTATTTTCCCATTTCGCGTTACAGATTAAACTGTTTTTAATGTTGAGTATCTCGATTTTTGTTTCAATGTAATTTTATGGTAACTTCAGCGTATTTCTGAGCACTTGTCATGATGTACCCGATTGGACAAATTCCCTTTTACATTAGTAGCTTAATTATAATTTCAGTCATGTGTTCTTAGACTTGACATATCCTTATTTATGATATGAGGAATTTTTGTTACAAGATAGTTTCAACCATTATTTCACTGGTCAGACACTTCACCCATTACAAGAAAAGTCATTTTTTTTAATTTTTTTTCCCTTGACTTGTAATAATGTTGCAATTGCATTAAATGTTTTTACGTTAATTAAGAGATGATAGAATTGGAAAAAAAAATAGTTTAAATAGTATAAGGTGTTTTATATTTTGGATTAAATTATTTTTAAAAGGTGTTTTACAAATAAAATTAGGGAATATGTGCTTTGTTCAGTCAGTTTATTTACCGTATTGTCAGGATTTTGGGTGTTCAGTTCATGTTCAGTTTTAGGACTTGTTTTAAAAGCAATGCTGGGCATTATTCGCCATGTATTAGATCTTCTTGTGCCCCATGTGTGATATTGGATATTATTATACATTATACATGCTAACTCGCCAAATCTTTTGTTAAATGTTTGGCGATGATATAACTATCATATTTGATATAACATATATAAGAATTAACCCCTTAAAATATTTGTTTTAGGTTTGTGAAAAAAAATTGTTTTAGGCGTTTAATTCATATTTAGGTTTGAAGGGTATTAATGTTTTGAAAGCAATATTGATGGATATTATAAATATTTTTTCTATACAAATTGGCCAAAATGTTTATTTACAGTTTGTTGATGATTCAATTATCATGTTTGATAAAGCATATTAACACTTATCCTTTCAAATATTTATTTTCCCGCAAATTATAATTATTGATAATTATAATTATAATTTATAATTTGGTCATTAACGGAAAGAGCTACTTGTTGATGCGTATGATGTGATGAAGTGTCGTGTTAGTAATGCAACTCAAGCAGAATGAAAAGAGGTCTTGCTGTGGATTTATACCTGTCCGTATGGCTGGGAAAATCTGGAGAACTCGATGCATTTAATCAGAGATTGTCAACAAGCGGGCAATTGATGACAAGCTGTTGTGAAAGAGGAATTCTGGAATGTATTCACTAGTCTTCAAGGAGTTGAACGGGTAAAATGGAACCTGAAAGATGAAGCTGGGAAACATAATACTAGTAAGATTAGATGGACTACTTTGTTTGGATATACTTACTGAGGCATTTGGGTAGCTAGATGTAAGAAAGTATTTGATGGTGAAGAAGATGAGTGATAATTATAATTGTTTTAGTTTCTTTAAAACTTGCTATGATTATGATCTCTTTAAGAGAGCTCCTTTTCTTTTTTTTGAAAGAGGGATCTATAGATCAAATAATAAAAATGTCGGTGGGTTTGTTACTTTAAAAGTGAATGGTTCGGTCAGATTATGGTAAAGGTTTTTAGGGTGAAAACTAAACATGGATTAAAGGTTTTAGATGCAAACTTCTAAATGTTTTGCTTGATATAGTTGAAGCCATAGAAATTATTATGATTTAAGTCTTTGTTGGCACCTTGGATACAGGAAGATAGATTTATTTTCTAATTGTGTGGAAGTAATGAAAATGCTAACTGGGGGATGTGGGGAAAGTCACCCATTCAAAGATATCATAGTCGATGCACAATGTCTCTTCCACAGAGATTGGAGAATCGATATTTAATATTCATACCATGAAGATAATATATAAAATTTTTGTATCTTTGATCATCCATCAATTTTACTTGTAGGTTTGGTGAATGATGTGGGATCAACCCCTTAGATGAACTTTGACAATATGTGGCTTTTTTAAGCTTTTGTTTTCAGTATAATTCAAAAAAAAAAAAAAGGGAATGCAACTCAAGTGTTGTTTATTTGAAATAGTATCTTCATGGAAGTCTAACATGGGCTATAATACTGTATTGTACATTGTACATAATTTTAATTTGAAATATACAATCCAAAATATTATAAATGTCTTAATAGCTATTATACATTCTAAAATATTAGGCAATTGGATGGATTAAACTTCATGTCTAAACTTGTATTATTTTTTTTAAAAAAAGTAAAATTAGGAACCTTGTGAAGATATCCATAACAATTGAAGATCTTAAATTGTTGAAATATTAGAAATGAATCAGTCTTTGTTTGCAATTAAAATATTTTTAATTTCTTGAAATAATCAATAGAAGGTCTTTGATAACTTAAAAGAAAGTTGGTTTTTGATTGTGAATTTAAAGGTTACTTTTGAACATATGAAAAATTGTGAATGGATTGGAATAATGGAATTTTTAATTTTTAAGTATGCCTCAACTATCAATTTAGTCTTTTAAATTTAATATTTTTCAATTTGGTGCCTTGTGTGTTTTTTTTTTTTTTGAATGATCAAATGAGTTCATTAAATTTTAAAACATAAATTAACTATCAAAATAATGTGTAAAGTATATTAATAATTTGGCATGTATATGAAGCTGAATGAAAACATATTAACCCTTAAATTAGTTTAATTTATCAATATAATCCATTCCACCATGTTTTGTTCTTTTGTTTTTTTTTTTTTGAAAAAAATTAGAGTTTCTCTTTTCCTAATTAAATAATTATATTTATTTTTACTAATCTAAATTGCTATCATTAACATTTTGTTATCCATACTGTCAAATTTTAAAAATGTTACCCTCTTTTTAAACCATAAAGCCTAAATTGATAACCAAAATAAATTTAAAAAACTAAATCAATAAAAATTAAATTAGATGACCCAAATTAATAATTGAGATAAATTTCAAAACTAAAAATTACATTATTACTTATAAATTTAAGGAGAACAACTTTTAAATTTTTAAAAGTTACTTATAAATTTGTGGAAAGTCATTGTGAATATATATTCAGAAACAAGAAAAAGTTTTCAAATTGTTAAAACTATTCATATTTTATCACAAGTGACATTTCATATATTTATGAATAATATTTTTTCAATTCACAACTAACCTAAATTCCAAGTGATACATAAATTTATAAATATATTATTCTTTTACAATTAAATTTTCATAAATTCATTATCAACTTTAGTAAAATTTACAAGTGATTATTCACAAGTTAATAAAACTATCTATTTACAATTGACTTTCTACATATTTACAAATTAACTTTACTTATGTTTATGAGTCATATTTCCTTAGTTATTTTGATAATTATATTTTTTAATTACAAATAAAAATCATGATCCTTCTATAAATTTTAATAATTAAAGCTCTTCAATTACCATTAACACCTTTACAAGTCCTATAGTTGTCATTTTCCCTATTTTTTATAAACATTTAAACTTAAAATATTCTCGCTTGTTTTTGAAGGAGAAACTTGGGCTTTTCTCTGTGCAATTAAATTAACGAGTGAACTTTAAATTAATAATAAAATAGAAATGTCAATAACAACACTTAAATAAGTAATGTCTAAAATTTTCACCCACCTAATTTGATTGAAATAATTAACTTTTAAGCATACAAGGATCTTTTTTTTCCCCCTTTTGCCTGATTTGAATTTAGTTTTAAAATACCTAATTATAATTACCTGTTTTAAATAGTTTTGGAATCCTGTCATGGTGTCAATTATATACTGGTATATGTTTATAATGATCTAAATTTTAAATATAAAAAAACATTAATTACTAGATTATAGTATTATACTTATAAAAACTGATGGAAAATTGATATAATTATGCTAAGACCATCAACAGGATTAATGGATATATATTTTAAGAAACTAGAGTAATTCATTGGGGAGCACATTCGGTGAGCACCACACCCCTGAACGAATTGGATAGTCCAAATTTAACAACCTTTTTTATTTTTAAAAATAAGAATTTATAAAATTTTAAATAAATATATTTTATTATTAACATATATCATTCATATTTAATCAGATCAATTTACATTTAATTTTAATTTTTTATAATTTTTATAAATTAACTACACAGATTTATTCTGAACTATTTTGAATTTAATAAGTATAACAAGTTAAAAATTTTAAATCTAAACAGTACACACTAAATCTGTATAGTCAATTTATAAAAAATTATAAAAAAATTAATAAAATTTAGACTCATCTAATTAAGTATAAATAATACATGTTAATAATAAATATATTTATTTAAAATTTTATAAATTTTTATTATAAAAAATAAAAAAATAAAAAAGGTATTTAAATTTGGACTGTCCAGATTCGTTAATGTGGACAGTCCAGATTCGTTCAGGGGTCATCACCTTGATGAGCACTGAATGTGCACCCGATTCATTGACGTAAATTTTCTCAAACACCTATGCAGGAACACAAAATATATATATAAATATATATATATCCATCATGTTATGTAAAAATATTTAGTTTTTTCCCCTAACAAACCTATTTAGTTATTTTGAAATATAAAAATTATTCATTTTAATAAATGAAAAGATCACTACTCATCAAAAAGGGGGGAAAAAGATAAATAACCAAAAAAAGGCTCAACTCTCGAATTCCAAACCTAAAACAAAATTCAAAATCAAGATTCTAAGATTTTTCTTTTTCAGTACGTTCTCAAAAAAGTATAGCAAATGAAAATCCTAAATAACAAAAATAACTTAGCTTTTCCCGCTGAAGGAGATCCCTTCACAACTGTTATAATTGGTCAAAAATAGGTAGATGTTTTTGCTGCAGAAGAGAACCTGTCACTTTTGCTTATAGTTAAGCTCTAACTTTAGATAGAGCCTGCGAATTCAAATACACTGGTTAGGTTCACAATCACATGAATGCGTTATGCCATGAAGCAGATGTGAAAGGAAGAGTGGTTCCATTGTGAATCACGATGTGACCGAGATTATGAACAAGATGAACAGAACAGAAGGAGGAACTTGCCTCAGTTATCAATGGCTTTGCATGTTCTTCCCATTCTGTAGTCCACCTTGCTGAAGAACCTATCTCTAATGCCCCATTTTTTAAGACTTTTAAAGCATCACATTTGTCAGGAAATCCCTTGAAGAGCATCTGCGCAGATTCAGAAAGACCAGAACTCAGGGAGGCATGTCTTCAAGAATCAATCAGTTCAACTTGAAATCATGTAAACCACAAGTTTAGCAGTTACGTAAAGCCTAAATAATAGTCACTTATGCGTCAATAAGCTAGTTAAAGATCTAATACCAATCTGCGTCTAGATTCTCAGGCACAAATACGAAATTTCCGAAAGGGATCATAAGGATGGATAATAACAGAATGCGCACATGATGACACATGCATGTACCAAGCGATTTGCCCGTAAAATAATTAAATCAAGTATACTTAAGAGATTACTACCGAGTTTGGGAGATCCTAGCACATTCCAATGATATTTGATTGTAATTCAGTCTAAAAAATAGGTTCTAAAAATGCTATTATTTGGACCCCAAATAATCCAATACTATCTCTTATCATACTCAGTTTGAGAGTGAAAAAAAAGAAAAATTGATCTTTAGTCCTCCAACTTTTAATCTACTTGTAACTCAATCCTTCAACTATGATTTGCTATGACTTAGTCCTCAACTATGACTCACCTATGATTCAGTCTCTCAACTTTTAAATCACTTACAAATTAGTCCCTAAACTTTTGTTAATTTTTTTTTTATGTTAACTTATATCTCACATCAATAAACAAGAGGGGGTATTTTAGAATAATATATAAGCATTTTTTATCTCTCTTATTTGATAAGAAATTTTTTTAAAAAAATTAAAAAATAAGGACCGAATTATAGGTGAATCAAAAGTTGAGTGACTGAGTCACAGCGGGTTATAATTGAGGCACTAAGTCACAGCGAGTCACAGTTGAGAGACTGAGTTACAAATAAGTTAAAAGTTGAAAGATTAAAAGATTAATTTTTCCATGAAAAAAATTATACAGACAACACATAGTAGAGCATATAAATCCCCATAAGTTATTTCATGCCACGTGTTTGCTAACAAAAATCCTTAAATATTTAAAGAAATCCACTAAAGAGATTTTGACAAGCTAGAGGAGTTTGCACACAATTAAGCAGGTAATGACATGAATATAAATCACTCGAAGACTTACCAGGAGTTCATCGGCTAACTCTGAGGATGAAGAGAAGAGAAGACCATTTTCGTCTACCCTTACAAGTTCTTCAATGCTTAAGGGGAAACAAATGTTGACTGATAAATAAAAATAATATGTTGTCTGAATAAAAAAAGAAACAGACGTAGATCACAAACTTTTTTCCCCGGAAAAGACATCACGTACCAAGAGTACGAAACAGCACAAACAGGCAATCCACAGCCAAACATATCAACAACCTAGTACAGCCATAGCAGAGGGATTAGAAATAAAAAAATAAATAAATAAACGAAATAAAAAGAATAACAGCGTCAATTGTCATCATCTAGCCCTTCTAAATGTATTACCACATATAACATGTAGCCTTGCGCTTAGATTAAAAAATTTAAAGTAACTGTCTAGGAACTGGGAAAACAAACTCGAGTTAAGTGATTAATTAGACAGTTGCCATAAAAAAATATAATAAATCAACATTACCAATGATATTCATCATCCTAGAAAAATTTGAGGCTTTATGATATGAAATGAAGAGGAATGGCCAGCATATATTCTGTAGAAAGCCATAAAAAACACAACAAGCCTGACTCCAACTATTCGACTTGTCAGAACCAGTGATAGCTGTTTTCATTATTTTTATCCTCCCTTTCTTGCAATGTTTTTTGTCTTTCCTTTTTTTAAAAAGCAAAAGCTAAAAAATAGAGGCCCAAATAACCTGATAAAGAGATATAAACAGCCTTAAACAGCGCAAAAAAGAACTAAATTGGCCAGCATATAGATATTAAAAAAAAAAACCCACTGTTTACAAACTACAAAGAGCGGATCTATTATCATATTAAACAGATGACGTATACCAAGGAACTGAACCATTTAAAAAAAATAAAAAACGGAAGGGCAGGGGGGCGGGGGTTCCTTTGGATGGGAGGAAGATACAAGGGATGGTGATATCCAAGCCATAAGGAGCTTTCTAATAGACCGTACCTATAGAAGCTGCCAAAAAAACCATAAAATATATACCTTCATAGGAAGGTCTAATCCTGATGATGAAGTATGTAGACAAACACCCAAATCAGCTGATCCTGAAATTACCCAAACATGTCGATATCATATCATTACAAAATGTAAGTGCTTCATATAATTTATGGAGAACAAAATACCCAGCAGCAATGGATAATCTTCAGCTGAAAGCCACATGGTACGAAATGCCACACGCTTAAGGTGTAATCCTTTTATTTTCTCTTCACACTTTTCTTTTTCTGGACCTTTACCTTTATCATTTAAAATCCTTGTTAGCTGTTATTAAGTTGCAAAATTAATGCAAACACTTCAGAAGGAAAGGAACAAGTTTTACCAGTAATGATGAATAACAATCTGGGATACAAACATTGCTTTGCATTAGATATATCTTTCCAGACGGTCTCCTCATCAATTGAATCATCCTCATTTAATATAGCAGCAACACGTCTATCATACATAACTGCAGCTTCTAGGAGAATACCAAAATCTTCATCCGGGGTCCTAAAAGCAGATAATGAAAACAGGCAAACTACCTTTTTATGTTTCAATGAATGCAATTCGTGATAGAAGGAACTTACCAGCTTGTACTGCTTACAATAAGTGCAGGCCGGTTTGACTTCAAATATATGCTTGAGCCAACCTCAGTCGTAAATAGAGTCTCACCTGGGCAATGGTTATCCACAGATGCAGTTCCTGTAGGAAGCAAAATCTTAAATAAACAGGGCGCTAATAAAAAAACGTATATATTTAACAATTGTAAGAGTGATTGTACCATTACTAATGCAATCTCGAATGCCAAGAAGCTGACAGAGATCTTTATTTAATCTACAAAACAGCTACAAGCTACCCAAATTATATATTGGAATCTTCAAGAATGCTTAATGAGTAAGAACAAGTCAATAACCAGACAACACAGCAACAAAAAATCACCTTATGTCTCTCCTCAAGAGATGCAGGATGAAAAAAGTCAGGAGGCTGATCATACAAAACCGTGGCTCTATAAAGTAATAGCAAACATTAAATTAAGTTGTTGTAGCAATATTTTTATATTACACAAGCTATCCCTGAATTTTGAGCTAACTCCCTTACTTAATTCCCCAGTTTTGGTCCAATTCATGCTGCATTGCTCTTGTTACGCATAGAGAAGCATCTGCCATTTTCCCATAATGATTTTCAAACCTACACAGAACCAAGAAAAAGAATTGCATTGGCAAAGGACGGATCCATGTCAGAGTAGGTAAAACTGAAGGTTAAACTAGTACCACTTGTATACAGAGACAAAATAACTATTCCTTCCAAGGGATAGACCAAGCAGTGTATATCCAAAATTATGCCAATCAATGACAAATGACGAATGCCTCAACCAACTAGCCCACTTAACAGCCACCAGAGTGGGAACTGAAGGAGGATTCTGTACAAACCAAAAAGTAAAATAAAGGAAGCAAAAAAGACCAGTTAAAAACCAATAGAGAATATGAAAATAGAATTCTCCATGTGCAAATTGATGCATATGATAGCATCCAGTAAACTATGAGATCAGATGTCAGACCAGCATTACTAAAGGAAAAAAACAACACGGCAAAGATCTAAGATCTCTCCTTTTACCCCAATTTAGTCTGAACCTGCTTGAGTTTCTTTTGGCCAAAATCATTGTTCTTAACTGTATTTCACCATTCATTTTGATCAGTTCAATCAATAATCAGTCTACTTCAATGCCTATAACTGGATTGGTTAAAACTGGTAAGAAACCATTAGAACCACTAGGTCGAATGAACCAGCCAAACCAGTCCTGTTTGACAGGTTTGCAATGAGGTGACAGGTCAACACCAAGTATCTAGACATAAGCATTGCTTCAAGTTCAGCAATGATCCCCGAATAAGAATTTACAATTCTGCATAAAGCAAATTGTACATAGAAGATTATGTATTCCACCATCGACCACTAATTTCAATAGATGACATTTTGTCCTCAAAAACTCCTGGCAGATTGTATCATTCAACACATAAAATAAGCAAGTGCTCTGTCACTTATTTCATGCAGACAATGAGAGCTTATCCCGCTTTCCAACACAACAGGCATATAAAATGACTTGCAACCAAAGGAAAATCCAGAAACTAAAAGAAAATATAAAATTTCTACCACCGGTCCTTATTGTAAGAAACTATTAAACTAAGAATGCAGGTGATAACATATTTTGAGAGTGCTTTAAATTTCTAACTATAAAATTTTATAGAGTTAGCTAAGCCTTTGGAAGCAGTGGGTCTCAAACTAAGACTACAGGTAATAACAACCATTAAGTTTCCATTGAAGCATCAGACAATATCAAGTCTCACTTATATCTTAAAAACTACATAAACTATCAAGTAAATCCCAAGATTATCAAGTTAACATGTTTTTACAAAACAACAGTATTATAGAAAAGGCTAACCTGTACTATAAAAATATCAGGCTTAGGTATCTTTATGCAAAGAAACCAAAGAAGCATACAAAATTGAACCAATGGCTTCAACACAAGCATCATGGGCCAAAGTATCTTTGGTAAGCTTTGACGGGCTGCTGGCCACTGTTTCTGAAAGAAAAGGCACAACATTACATTAACTTAAAGTGATGGAGGGAAGATAACTTGTCTGGAAAATATTGGTCCATACCATTCTGTAAATATGAATATATTGGTTGTCAAGAATAGCATTATAAGGCTCTGAACCTGAAAAGAAAAAAGGAAAGGAAAGGAAAAGGGTAATAAAGTATAAAATTCATTTGAGACAACAGTCACTCAAAATTCGTAGTTAACTCCGTGAAATACAACAGCAGTGAAAACTAACTCAAATAATTTATCATGAAAAACTAATCTGAGAGAAGAAGTACCTCCATATGCGACAATGTCTACCTCTAGACGAACCTGCAACGATAAATAAAAAGCCAGTAGATCAATCAATTGAACAATTTTTTATTTATTTATTTATTTTTTTTTTGCAGGTTCCGTTAAAACTACATGCAAAACGAACAGGCTTCACAAGTCATTGAAAAAAGCTGCCAGAATTTAGGAACCAAAGACTACAATTTTTATGTTAGTTTACAACACCAATTAAAGCCAACAGAAAGGGCAACCCAAAGAGAAGAGAAATACAAGTGAAGTTCTGAGCATGAGTGAGTCACAAAACTTTATGACTGTCTCTTGAGGACTACAAGATAAAACTAAATTACACATTCATAATGCCACTTACATCACCAGAGCAATTGTTCCTAAGAACTTAAGATTATAAAAGACAATTTGAAAGGCGAATTTCAAAAGATAAGAATCATGTCAACTGAGCCACATTAGCTATGATCAAAAGCTCGCAAAATTAGGCCGACTCAGATTGGGATACCAAAAGACAAAATAAATTAAATTGTTTTACAGATTCGCAAAAATGGATAAAATACCTGATTCGCAAGAGAAAGAGCGTGGTACTGCATTCGAGGACTGCGGCCTACGTCGCCTAAAACTACAACACATGCCCTCCCTCTTCTTTCCTTCTCTTCTTTGCCTTTTCCTATGATCACAAATGAAATTTCCGAACATAAACCCATCCCGTTCGTGGAAAATTCCTCCTTTCCAATTTATTTCATATAAAAACATAAATGAAAACAAACAATTCAAAACGATTTCCTGGAAAATTGAAATACGGGATAAAAAAAGGTACCTATCATTCTATTGAGAAATCAAATTCTTCCTTCTCTTGCCGTGATTACTTGGCTCGTGAGTGATAACTGAACACGCGTATAAAAAAGAACAGCAACAGCAACGGGCGACGATTCGACACCAGATATCTTAATTTAATAAAGTAGCGGCAGATGGAGTCAAGATCATGGATTACCACGCTATCCACCTTGAGTTGATCTTCAGGGTTCCATTCTTGATGTACCTGCTCTTGAAGTTACTTCAGATCGATCTCCTGTAGGTTCAATCCCCGTTCTGCCCCTCACAAGGCGTAGTTCAAGCTTCCCAGCTGGCAAGAACAGTGTACAGTATGTTTGGATAGCAAATATAATCGATTTTTGGCTGAAAAAATCGATTTTCTATAAAATTATTCAAATATTCACTTTTTTTAAGAATTCATTTTTGAGCCAAAAATCAATTATTCCAAAGCTAGAAGCGGAGCTTTTGCCAAAAAATTTGTTTAAAATATTGAGAAAAATTTTAAAGACAGATCCAAACAAAAATTTTAAAAAACATATAATTTAATAAAAATAAAATAAAATCCTCTTCTTTTTCTTAAATAAAATTTAAATTTTATATTTTTCAAAAATTAATATTTAATATTTAAAAATTAAATTATATAATAATTTATATAATTAAAAATTAATTTTAATTAAATTATTTAAATATTTTTAATTTTATTAAAATTAATTTTTAAAATAATGTTTAAATACATTACGTTATAACATAATTAATTATTATTAAAATTTATTATTAAATAATTATTTTTATAATTTATTATATTTAATTAAAATTTAAACGGGCACGTACTCAAATTACCAGATACAGGCTTGGACTTGGAAGACTAAGCATTCTAAACAACAGATGGCCACGATTATGTGCGGGAAGGAACGGACCAGATTCATATCCTTTGAATACGACGGCGTTTTGAAGTCGTAGTGGTGCCGACACCTCTCTCGCTCCCCCTCCATCACCAGGTCCAGGTGGCTCTTTAAATTGGGGAGAGTTGAAAAAATGGGTACGCTTCCGAGAATTTGTGAATGTTCGTGATGGATCGCAAAGAGAATCAATCTCCCCAAGGTATAAAATTGACCGATAAATTCTAATTCTTTTTTTATTGTTATTATTTGAAGAATTGATTTCTTGTTCTCATTTTCCCTTAAAAATTTGCAGGCCGAACAGCTAGAGTTTTAGTTGAATTTTTAGAAGTGGCCATTACGGCTGTTGTTTTTCTCAAAGGGGTTTATCCTTCTGGTAGATCCTTAATGTCCGCTAATTTTTCTTTTCTTTCTTTCTTTCTTTTTTTTGCTTTCGTCGTTTTTTTCTTTATTCTCAAAAAAAAAAAAGCAAAGAAAAAAGAGAAAATTGTTTGCTGATATTGGGTGTCGAAAAAAGGTGCTTTTGAGAGGTCGCGGTATATGAATGCGGTGGTTCAAAGGGCTCGCCATCCTCAGCTCAGATATTATATACATGCTGCTGTTTCAGGACTTCTTCCCTTTCTACATCAGGTAGAGCTTGTCTTTAATAATTTGCATGTTTTAATTATAATATATAGAGGTCTCTTTAGTGTCAAGTAGAATTCAAGTTTTTTCGAGTACATCTTGCACCTGCTACTTGGTCTTGAGCGGCAGCTTATGACATTTCTTGTTGTTTCTGTGTGTGGGAACTTAGTTGGTAGATCCTTGTCTTTCTTGGTTCCTGTAAATTGCATTCTTATTAAGGGATTCCGAAGAGAAAAAAAGGTTAGTGAAATATGAGCATTTCCTGCAACCTTTGACCGGTTAATAGTTGCAACAAATATTTCCACTGATTTTCTATGTATATGCATGTCCACTGGTTTTGTTACCCCTGGATGTTTGAATTTTCAAATGCAAAATAGGACATGTATTCAATCAAAGCATCTAATTTGCGCATGCCACTGAAGTTATACCTCATTTATGGAGATGTATGAATATGATGTAGGTTACTGCATTTGCCGATAGTAAATGACTAAATAATTCAAAAGCCGGCTCAAGTTCAAGTATCCTGTATGGAAACACTCGTTTGTTTCTAACAACTCTACGCTTACCCGCTTTTAATAGGGAATGGTGGAGAGAGTAGCAGTTATATTCTACAAAGCTGATGATGTTCCACTGGAGAAATTTGTATTTAAGCTTGCAGTGAACCAATCTCATGGCTCAAACGTGGACGAGGCCGACCTGGAGCTCTCTCTAAGATCCTTCCTGATAAAGCTTTCAGTCTCAGAATCTCTTACGAAGGATCTTCCCCAGGGTAAATGCAAGTTTAGTCATTCAGTACATTATTCCTTTTCTTTTTGACTTCATCCAGTTCCTTTCATGCCATAATCTCTCTCTTCTCCTTCCTTCATGATTTCTGCCATCATCCCCCTTCAGTTGTACACCCTTGAAAATTATAAATTCCCACTATCATCCATCCTGCTTTCAGCTCTTATGGATGCTATATTTAAGCCAATGGTTCATTACTTCATTCTTTGCTGCACAGGTCAAGCGTCTTTGAATTTGTTTGGCAACTGGAACAGTCTTAACTCATTCTTTTCCCTCCCATAACAGATTGCAAGTGGGAGATAATTGCTTTCTTTCGGTCCCTTCCTAAGGCTACGATGAGCAAGGAAGCAGAGATATGGATCCCAACTGACACAAAGCAGTGGCACCAGCCCCCACTTATAACCCCTATTAAGTCAATGAGTAGTGAATCTCTATCTTTGCAGTTATACTTGGAACATCCAAGTTTATCTGAATCAATACTATGAGAAGGGAACCTAATGCTGTGGCATATGCAATATAGTACATACCGAAGCATACATTAGAGGGTAGGCATAAATTATTTTAGTGTCTGAATGCCCTATTGAAGTAAACTTGTCCTTCATTCCGAGTTTTGATTACCTGACTTGCATACCTTTTTGTGGAGATACTGCCTTCTTTTTCCACTCACTACTTTGTTGTTTGACAGATTGAATACTTGTGTTAGAATTCAATAGTTTGTATGGTAGACTATTGTTTTAAATAAAATTGGAAGCGAAAGATTAAAGGACAACTATCCAAACAGCTTTGACAGAACCAGGGCCATTCTGAATTTTGTGGTCTTTGGAAAATCTGGTTACTCCACTGATATTTTAGGTGATAATTTTTCTTATTGTGATTTTCACATGGGCTAGCTAATTATAATGAATAAGATGGCAATATGCTGAATAAATCAATCAAAGGTACTACTGTTGGCCTTGGTGAAAATAAATAGGACACCATTACCTAAAAAATTGAATTTAGCTAGTTTCTCATACTGAAGTGACGATCTCAAAGTGAATGTAATTTGTTTCTTATGACAAAAACACTATTTATTCTTGATGTTTCTTTGCCATTTAAATTGCCCTGGCATATGTGCTTTTCATACATTAGACAACAACCTTTGGACATGGCTCTTAGTTATATGTATCTGTTTGTTTTGGGGTAAATATGCAACTTATGTCTTGTATCCAGTAGCCTTAAATGTTTTTCAAAATTGTCTTGCGTGGAATTACTTAATTGACTATTTCCTCTTGCTACAGTGAAATTAAACCATATTGCCTGCCCATTGTGTGATGATGAGTGGATAGGCCTCAGAAGACACAACCAATTTGTTGCACTTGAACAGTTGATCAGAATTTCTGATATTCTGCAGAACATTGGAAACCCCTTGTCTATCTGAACCTGCCCCTGAGAAATAATGGAAAAGCGAAAATAGGAAAATTCCAGTCAAAACCAACTGCTGCATCAGAAGAAAGAACGTAGAGTTGGGAGAACCTAGAACAGAATGTTTACTCCGATGATCTAGTGTCAAGATATCATCAAATGGTTTCTGAATCTGATCTAAGATGTGCTCATGCATATACTCACCCCAATGACTGCTCTTAATTGATATCTTTTCCATAGATAGTCAAGTGCCACATTGAGTGCCTTCTGCTTCTTAGTCCCTCGATGCCGTTTCTCTTATTTTGCAAATTTTCAAGATTATGCCCTTCTTGCCACTATCTTATACAACTGTGTGTATCAACATTTTCCCCAAGCTTGACAGAGTCGTGGAATCGTATAAAATTCCATTGTTGTTTTCTTGACATTCAAAGACTCGTTTTTGTTCAGAAATGGAGTTTCACGCCTGCTATATAGAGATATCCCTTGATTTTCTTTGTTGATGCTGGTAACAGCGCTATCCTTTTCTTTGTTCCAGTGAGAAGGCCAGAAAGAGTGCCACTGCAGAAACTGAGGCTAGCAAGTTTATAGCCTCTATTTTCTTAAAAACAACTTGAAGGCTTTTGATGTTGCCCACCAATTGCATGTCATACTTGATGCAGTTGCATTTTTTGATTAAAATTGTGTTTGCCAGATTACTTTCAGACTTCATTGATGTCCGAGAACTCTCATTTGGTCTGATGGAAAGATGTCAATGAAGAGCTTATCTTCATTTGGAAAATCGAAATTCTTCGTGTGCTGCCACAGCCCAGGAGCTAGGTTAGCGAAGGCGGGAATTTTGAAACCTGCTAGGTGTCAAAGGATCTATGTGGGTTTCACACCAAATGTTACTTATCTTGAGCAGATTGACAAGTGGCCGAAAATGGAGCTTCCTTCTCTCTACTTATATTCAAAGAGTCAAAGCTGCAGAACCAAGGGCCTGCAAAACTGCTGTGGGCTGGGGCAGTGCTTCACGGACAATATCTTTTACCATTTAAACTACGGCTTTGGCTAATGATGCATCATGGGAATCTTTCACCTCAGTTGAAGGTGAATGAGTATTGTTTTCTTTAGAGAAACCCACCTTGATTCCGACATGGTAAATGAGTGTCCTTTGTTGCAATCTGTTGATAAATTTGTAGTTTAGTAGATGATCAGAACTCTTGACGCGGTTATTTAAAAGTTGAATTTAACCAAACTCTTACGAGAGCACTGCATCACTACCCATTTGTAAATGGATTGGTAAAATATAATCCCCGAAAAGTGTGCAGTAGCCAGGCATGTCATCCGGAAATAGAATCTCCATAACTGAAGAAAAAGCCATATATGGTTGAATTTTTCTTCCAATCGTTTCACAATTTTCTTCAGTGTAAGCATTGTATTTTTTAAAAAAAAATAGTTAAGCATTGTATTTATGTCTTTATAAAAGTTGAAAAGATTAAGAATATGTAACCTGCTTGAAGAATAACCATGTAATAATTATTCAAAAGCAGTAAATATTTTGCCAAATATTTGGATAAATGACTATAAATCGACCTAGTCATCGGTGTCCCGCGGCCGAATTTCTCTAAACGCAGTAGTTTTCTCTGCTGCCTTGTTTGACATAAATTCCTAGCATTCTAAATTAGCACTTATAAGCACGAGTTTTTTTCCACTGATATTGGAAATCTGCCTCTCCATGTGCATGTAGATTGAAACTTCTGCTGTAATAAATCATTAAAAATATCAGAGGTTGTAAAGGTGAATTGTGCTTAATTTGGTGATTTTCTGTTATTATGATTATGAAGTACGTTTTAAACTCAACTTGCGCCAGATGGTGTAGAAATTTGTAATTTCCACAGTTCCTCGTATTTGTAGTCTATTATTTCTGTACATTCAGAAACTATTTTCCATCATGCAGAAGCATGATATTATCTATTCCATTCCATTATCTTATTATGCCAAATCTTCCAGAACTATATACCAGCACTAGCTGCTCCTAGATTCAACTTCGCATATTGAAATTCTACGCAAGGCATGCTTGCTTTTTGGTTTGACTTGAACATTTAAATGAGAGTGAAGAATGGTGAATTTTCTGTGTAAAAACCTGTTAAGAGCATCATGATTGTTCTGTGTTTTATTTGATTTTGGACGCAAGCTCGCAATCTCTTGCTTTCATCATGGGCTCACTGTCATGTAATGTTCTTCGAGGAATTCCTTTCTAGATTCGTTCTTCATAGGCTCATCAGCTCATCAATCAACATTTGACATGTAAGGAGCACAAATACGAGACGCAGCATAATAATCAAACATCTTATGTAATAGTCTAGTGTAATTTGAAGCATTATACTGTATCATATTTAAGCGTCTAACATGACATGCTCTACATTTTCCAAGTATTGATGTTTCATAGTCTCACCACACGGCTTATGGTGCTCTAGAAATGACATGTGCTCCAATTTGTTCCACCTGTCAAAGCCATCATAACATTTTCAGATACCTCGGCCACTTTTCTGGCACATTGGGTGGCATTATCGCGCCATCTGGTCTCATTTTGGAGGACCTTTTCTTTTTCTTATCATGATGTTCAAGCAATGATATCTCTTGTATTGTGATCTTAGCAACCTCCCATAGTCACTAGAGTTCTACATATTACTATTCCCAAGTGGGGAATCCTGGTAATCTATATAGTAGGTAGCAAATGGCCAGCACAAATCCATGTGCCGCTCCACTTTGCCTACAAAAACAGACCATGCTTGATAACTCTAGTCTGCATACATTGTACCGTTCATGCATCTTTTCTTGTTTGTCATTCCAATGGAATTTTCCTCCCCACGTCTTTGTCACAAAGAAGATACCACTGATCGTTCCTTTAATTATTGGTGCTTGGAGACATCCATCCTCTTAGAATTCTCAGAGTAGTTTTTTTTTTTTATTGATATTCTCGGAGAAGACTTTTTTTATTTTTTATTTTTTAAGTATCAGAGAAGACTTAACCATGTTCATCTCGTGCAAACTTAGACAGGGGAGAAGCAGAGTTGAAAATTACAATTTGATCAACGAAATGGACTATCTTTGGATATTTACGTTTATCTCTGCCAAGCTTCCAGAAGAGGTTACAGCAAAAAAGTGGCATAGAAGAGTCATGTCTGTGCTTGTTATGGATTGGGCATTTGTATTGTAGTATCACATCATTAACATTTATAGGGTGTCTAATGCGTAGGTGCATCAGCATTTATGCTTTTTCATATAACAGTATTTATCCTTTTTACAATATGTAAAATTAGAAATGGCAGGCTGGCCGAACAATTATAAGTGGTGAAAGACCTATAAATGTGACATGACATATGGACTGTGAGAAGTCAATCTTGGAAGATTTTGATTTGAATCTGTTACGGCATTTAACATTGTCAATGAGCTGGTACCTGTTAAATCTCATTAAATGCCGAGGACTGAATATCACGATCTCAGCGTCGAACCTAACATGTCAATAATCAATTGCACTCTTTGCATGTGATAGACGGTTTTTCTACTTAGTTCAAAGCAAAGAACGTTACTACAAATTGTTGCCGGAATCTTACGCTAAAAAATGAATAAACAAGCACTGAAAGTTGCACTTGCAGTACATAACCCTAGAAGGACCATACTTTACTGAACTTAAATCCATCCCTTTTCCATAAATGAACCTCTTCTTCTAAGGGAGATCTGTATTTGATATATTTGCATATTTATTTATAATAAATTTTATTTATCTATCTTTTACAACGCTATTCAGGAGAATCTGGTTTTAATGATGCTAATATGAAATAGGGACTTGTACATGTTCTTTTGCTTTGTGGATTAGTGATCTTTAAATCTCATCCACTATGTTTTGATGATACTTAATAGAATATAAGACTTTCTATTCCCTGTCCCTCTAGCTTATCTTTCCAAACTAGGTATGTATCTCTGGATCTATACATTTCCGGTCCACCATTACTATCGAGCGTTTATCATTTGACTGCCTTCTCACTTCTAGCAGTAGTTGATCTACCCAATATTGTCAGAGGTGAATTGACATTTCAATTGAGTGGGGAGATATTTGCCTTGGTTATTATGTCGCCCAATGTGTCTAATCTGTACAGCAAAATTTTCAATGCCTCTCAAACATCACCATTTATGCCTCCTTTTCAAAGTGGACCTCATCAACATGGTCACATTTCAACACCTACCAACAGCTCCGCCATCAAATGGACTAGAGGGACTTTCATTTGTCTCCTGAGTTAATTTTCTGCAGATAAGTTTTGGTATTTTATTATAAGAAAATCTCCATAAAGGATCGCACTCAAAATGTACCAATACCTTCCGTATTAGTTTTTTTATGTTAAGATTCAATTGTAAGATATGACGCTTGAATACCATATCAGAAGTGAAATTCTGATGTGGAATTTTTCTGACCCTTTCGTTTTCTCTCAAGTCTTGATTTGAGTAATTCTCTCCAATCTCAAAAGCTTTCACCTCCCTCTCATTAAACGTTAAATGAGTGATTCCCAACATTATGATAAAATCCCTTTCATGTCTGCAAGAAATTAATTTTTCTGGTTGAGGTGGTAAGGAACTGATGATACAGGTGGGGGAGTGATAAGAACGTGTCCTTGATGGTCAGGAACACATGCAGAAAGTTGTTACGAGTCATGACCAATATACAGATAAAAACAAGCTTCCAGTTCACACTTTGATTTATTATTGCTAATTATAAACCTCAAAGTGTTGTATTATTTATTGCATGACTTTTGTGGTATAGACATCAGTGGCTCCCAATATTAATGTTGTTCAATCAAAGTCCCATTGGTTGTGGTTGGTCAGAAAACACTTAAGTGCTTTCAAGTCCTTTCCACTCTCAATTAAACTTCATATAATTATAATTAATATTAATATTACTCTAAAAAGTTCCAAGGGCATAAGAATTCTTGCTTTTATTATTACTTACTACCAACCCACCCAATGTTCAATGCCAGCCAATAGATTAGCAATTCACATGACAGCAAATCTTAATTTTTAAAAATTGAATAAATCAATATTTATCTTTATTTTTTTCTTTTTTATTCTGGATGGGATTTGAGAATAACAAGTGTTTCATGGAGATTTTGCCATCCCTGCCAGTTATTTCAATGATCGGCAACATTAAACTTCAACAGTGGATATGAATTTGAACTTATCCTTTGTTTTTGGAGCTATATACACATCAGTTTTCTATTATATTAAGGTGAAAAATCATACCTAAAGCTTTCTTTTCTTGCCTTTTATCATTGCAGAAGTAAGGGTGGGACAATATTTATCAAAAATCCATGACTTCTTTTTTCTGTTCTTTTATGGAGGTGGTGAAAATGTGGGGTCACTTTCTGATATAAACTTCTTGTCAGTTTGTGGGGAAAAAACAAATATGAAATTTAAAAATAAAAATAAATATGTGTCATGATGAATCGGTGGGGTATGCACACCCATATAACATCAATGAATGATAAGCACATGGAGAGTGTAAACCTCATATTACAACACATTCTGTGATGACAAGGGTGAGAGAGGTAGGTGGGGCCAAGTCTAAGCTGTACAGTCACTGTCTATAATTCCATTATAAGCCTGAAAGCATCAGATCTTATTAAAACAGGGACATTGCTTGATCAAATAGGTCAGCTTGTTGTTAACACTAAAGTGGATTCTAGTGCCCAACACAAATAATATTTAAAAAAATCACAACCTGTCCTGCTTTTCTGATATGGTCCTACCTTAGATGTTTTGTCAGATTTGGAGGGGTTTGAGATGGGCAGTACATGAACTGACTTTTTAGGTTGCTGCAACATCATTAGAAGCCATCAAGTGGCAAGTGGTACTACTCCTCAATTATGGCTCAATTAAAAAGTCTTGAAAACTATCCAGTGGCATCAATTCAACATTATTTAAGGTAAATAAAATATATAAGCCTGATTCTTGAAGATTTAAAAAAAAAACTGTTTTTTTTGTAAAAGTTACCTTTTGAATATAAATTAATCGGTAGTATTAAAAATGATTCTTTGAGAGAAAAAGGAGTCATGAGAATTGAAAATGTACAGGATAGGATTACGAAGAAGGCAAAATAAATGGAGTATGCTTGCGTTTCAACATAATATTTCCCCTCTACTACAGTATCATCCCACTTGACCTAAAAAGGAAAGCATAATAATATTATTGAGAACATAATTAGGGTCTTTTTCTGTCAATTTAAAGGTAATTGATATAATAAATAGAGGTTATTCAATTTACTGAAAGGCATAACTATTACTTGTCCATCAACTTTCCTTAAAAATCCCCTAAAGTTTAGGGGTTAATTGAGTAACTCTTTACCTAAAGACAAAAGATATTCATT